TTTATTAAAAGATTAATGTTTCGTGTATACCAATATAATCGGGCGAAGTATAAATTCCAAGTGTAAAACACTCGATGAGAGGCCGCAGTTTACGTTACCTCGAGACCATGCACTAAGTAGGAAAAGCAAGCCGAAGTTGAAGAGGGAGTGTCACACACTTGGTGCTACAATATATACTACAACAACTGGGTGATCAGCGAAAAAAATAGCGCACTTCTTGGCGAAACTGACTAATCTAATAAACCTTGGCCCAAGTTTAACCCCAAGTCGCGCACTGAACAAGTGGGTTGTTACCTTGGTGACCATTCGCGCTCCGCGCGTTGACCTTGTTATTATACACATCCCATTGGCTCTGCATTGCCTACGTAAAAATTGTTACCGTTCTGGTTGTGAATATTTCACCATTGCCGACGTGATAATGCGTTGCCTTCGTAATAATTACGCAAACTTATTTTCCATTGTTTACGTACTGGCTGTGAATATTTCAACTTTGCGGACTTGATAATGTGTTGCCTTTGCAATAATTATGCAAACTTATTTTCCGCTGTCTACGTACTGGCTGTGAATATTTAAACTTTGCCGACTTGATAATGCGTTGCCTTTGTAATAATTACGCAAACTTATTTTCCATTGTTTATGTACTGGCTGTGAATATTTCAACTTTGCCGACTTGATAATGCGTTGCCTTTGCAATAATTACGCAAACTTATTTTCCGTTGTCTACGTACTGGCTGTGAATATTTAAACTTTGCTGACTTGATAATGCGTTGCCTTTGTAACAATTACGCAAACTTATTTTCCGTTGTTTACGTACGGGTTGTGAATATTTCAACATTGTTGACTTGAAATTGCGTTGCTTTCGTATAATTTGTATAATTTATAACTACACGACTTAGTCGTAACCGCGACTTACTGCCTCAGAGACGGACGGGGCCACTGAATAACTGTTGTTGATAATAATATTGTAAACAAACACGCACACACAAAGCATTAAAGCCAGAAAAGTCAAGTCAAGAAACAACATTTCAAATAATAATAATTATGGTTTGACATCTATATCATTTTGAAATAAACTAAATTTCATGTAAATAAAATTCATGCGTTACAATTTACTGTAATTTCAAACTCGGGGCAGCGTACTTTGAACGCAGAGTATTCGATCGCTTACATTTCGAGTGAAAAAAAAAACAACAACGTCAGGTGCTTTTGAACTACGTGCGGTTGGCACAGTAATGAGCAATGACCTCAGCGGTTCATGCGCAATGAAATTCTAATCCAGCCAGCTCGCGTTATCGTACGGTATCATAAAGTCAATAATTATTCATTCAAAATGCCTTACACACACACGAGTACCATGGAACACGAACATGTAACAGAAAAATAACGTCTTTTGTTTAAAGAAGATTCTGTCAACCAAGAATACATGCACAAGGCAAGATTTATGAAACGAAACAGAAAATAATCATGTCATTGTCAGTGCAATGCAGACAGCCTGACCTGTTTTGATTAGTTCGACAGTTTCTCGTTTGTTGGCCATTTTTTCTGGAGTGTGACACAAATGGTGAACATGATACTGCCAAATCAATCAAGAACCAGGATACAGCTAGGATACGCTGAAACTTTGTAAATCGTCCTCTTTTCAATTGTAGACTTTATTCCAATGTAATAAAGGTATACCTACATGTACCATGAAAAATTGTATCGCATCACTTAGGAAATTGACGCTAAATACATGTACACTGTACTAAATACTAAACAAGCGCACATATCATATTCATTTACAGCATCGGATTTTAAAACAATGACTCGTGGAATAACAAAGAAACTGTTAAGTACGTATTTCACACATTACCAAGGACCGCGGTTGTGACCGGTACAGTGGTAGAGGCCCCTAATTATAAGCAGTCCGCGGCTCTCCCCGGTGTTCTGCGGTACACCACGGTAATGAACGCGGTGCACCGCCCGTTTGATTTCCTACTCTTCCCTTAATCAATAAAATATTACTAATTTTGGCCATCGAAAAAATTGCAATTTACATAATGCACCTGCTCTATTAACAGAGCAAATATGGTATGGGGGGTACCGGTATATTATATTTTCCTGTTTTTATCTAAAAAAAATGAGACTTGTAGTCAATGAAGAATTATGCAGATGTTGGTGGAAAATTAACAGAAAAAGTGTATTTATAGAATAGGATAGAAAAATGGGCTAAATGTTGCATCACAATTGGGGTGGTAAAAAATATGGCATTCCGGGGTTGATCTAGTTTAGTACTCATTGCTTGAAGGTATGAGAGTCAGATGGAGTTCAACCCAGTACATTATGCCATCTGTACTGAATTCTATGAATAATTTAAATAGACCTTCACCAATTAATAAAGTTATTAATTAATTATATTCTTACTACCAAGGCTAAAACCAGTGAATAACTTTATTGGACTACCAATTTCACAACAATTATTAGTATTGACTCTCTTAATTTTTAATTAATTTTATCAACAATAATCTTATAATAATCATAATCAGCCTTTTAAAAATCCATGGATGTACTTGTGGTTAGTGTTTTATAGACCATATCTTCTCTATTAGAAGCTCATCTTTAATAGAAAGCACATTTAAACAACAGGTAACATTATTTGTGTATTGAAATATTACAGAATCACATCTGCAAATTACATATTAAGCACACACTATAATAGAGCAAATGTGCTAACATTGGTTGATGAATTAGGGATTTTATTAAGCCACCAGTGTCTGTTGAACTATGGCTATCATTCTCATTGTGCACATGTTACACAATGTAATTTTATTCCAAACCATTGCTTGGAACAAGTTGTGTATACAATGTAACTGAAGTGTGACAACAGACGAGGTTCCCCTCTAATATCCCAGCCAGGAGCCTGGAGGTTTAATGTCACTTTAAAGATGCCATCTGCATAGTAGTTAGTTTGTTTCTCTGTTTCTGTTCTTAGGACATCCATAGAGCTTGCACATAAGCCTGTGAGATCTGTTAAGCAGTTGGACAGAGTGGTCCCCAATGCGTATAAACCAGTAACAGATCACAAAAGTAATGTAAGTATTCCAGCTACTCAATGACAACAATCAAGCCATTCAATGACAGCACTCCAAACATATTGTGTTTAACAGTTTCAGCTACTCAATGACAGTAACCAAGCCATTCAATGACATCACTCCAAACATATTGTGTTTAACAGTTACAACTACTCAATGACAATAATCAAGACATTCAATGACAGCACTCCAACTACTCTGTGTTTAACAGTTCCAGCTACTCAATGACAATAATCAAGCCATTCAATGACATCACTCCAAACATCTTGTGTTTAACAGTTCCAGATACTCAATGAAAACAATCATGTCGTTCAATGACAGCACACTAACCTCTCTGTGTTTAACACTCCCAGCTACTCATTGACAACAATCAATTCATCCAGTGACTATTCAAACCTTTCAATATTCAACAGTAAATCTCTGCTACTCAATGACAAGTCAAGCCATTTAACTAACAGTACTCCATCCACTCAATATTTATCAGTGTTCAAGCTACTTATTAACAACAATCAAACCATTCAATGACAGTACCCTGACCATTTTCAATGATAGTGCTGTGGTTACTTAATATTTTGTTGCAATTCCAGCAACTTATGCAATGACAATACTTTAGTCATTCAATGGCAGTACCCTGACCATTTTCAATGATAGTGCTGTGGTTACTTAATGTTTTGTTTTTTGTTACAATTCCAGCAACTTATGCAATGACAATACTTTAGTCATTCAATGGCAGTACCCTGACCATTTTCAATGATAGTGCTGTGGTTACTTAATGTTTTGTTGCAATTCCAGCAACTTATGCAATGATAATACTTTAGTCATTCAATGGCAGTACTATTGTTACTTATTGGTGCAATTCCAGCAACTTAGTAGCAGTACTATGACCTCAATGACATTACCGTGGTTACTAAGTGACAGTACTTTAGTCATTCAATGGCAGTACTCTGAGCCATCCACTGGCAGTACTATGGTTACTTAATGTATTGTTGTAATTCCAGCCACTTAGTAACAGTACTCTGACCTCTCAATGACAATAATCAATTAATTCAGTGACATTACTGTGGTAACTTAATGACAGTACTCTGACCCCATGATAATAGAATTCTAGTCACACAATGACAGAGCTTAGACCACAAAATGACAATATTGTTGTTGTGACAGTGTTCCAGTTACTCAATGACTATACTCTTTACAACTCAATGACAGTAATCAAATCAGCCAATGGCAGAACTCAATTTGCTCAGTGTA